TTTGATTGTCATTCACTCGTCTCTCGGGCTTAATGTCTGGTTTAATAAACTCTTGTGTATATTCTTTGTCTAAAACATGTCATTTGATGAACAGATAATACCATATATAGTATACTTCCAAACCTTAAAGTATTCTTGACTTTAGTTTTGAATAACATTTACTTTTCCAGAATATCATTAAAATATGGGAAATTTAATTATAAAATTACTTTTAAATAATATGATTAATAATAATAATTGATTATAATTTGGTGTATGAATGGGAAAAATGTACATTAAAAGCTAATTTGTTTTATTAAATTATTTTTAGAGACAAAACTTTTTCTCCTAAAAAAGTAATATAAAAATCATTTAAAGTTTGAAAACCTTATGTAACAAAAGCTAATTGTGAGCCAAAACAAAAACACATTTCTAATTATAATCCCATTTATATCATATAATTTACTCAATATATCATAACTTTTGTGTATATTCTGGAGTCTAGACTATATAGAAATGAGAGAATAATTGATAGTTTTATTATTGAATAAAATATAATTGAAAACACAATAATAAAAATTATACGTAAAATGAGTGGCAATTAATTAATTTGGTGATTAAGTCGGACTCGGACTGGAATATTATTTATTCATTTCATGCAAACAGTGATTAATGCATTTGTTTGTCGCCATACACTCTGCACATGGCAACAAATGACCCTGATCATTCTCACCATACATCCACCCCTCCCTTTACGCACACATACATTGAATATAAATTAGTGATGAGCAGGTATTTAGCCACAAGTTACCATGTAATAATTGTTTCAATTTTAAATGCACTTTTGATTACACAACGATTGCAACATTTTTTTCTAAGTTTTAAAGAAAGCAAAAAAACATTTCGTGTGAATCACAAAAAAAAATCAATTTTCTAGAAAACATGGTTTTGCGTCAATTGAAAAATGCATTCAATTTAATGATTATATTTAATGACAATATTTACAAATCCGGAGAAAAATGATTTCATAGATAGATCTAAAGGGATATTAAATATGTTTATTGCGAAAGTGAAAGGTGATAAGTATTCATCATTGAATGAGCATTGGTCATTATAATAACATTGATTACATTGGTATACTTTGGTATACTTATCACCTTTTACTTTCGATTTACACATATGTTTTGCAACTTTAATGAAAGTGTATAACACTTCCGGATCTAAATTTATAAAACTTGTCAATTCGTGACTTAAAATAAATACTTATTTTCATTGCAAGTTTTATTTATTATTATATAACTTGTATTAAATGTGAAAATATAGTATAAATAATCACTTATGCGATGAATGAACTAAATATGATATGTATTGACCTAAATATATACACATTTATACATCTAAAACAATGTCCTTAACCCAACTTATGATATATTTGAACAAAATAGGAATTTTTAAAATCAATAAATTACTGAATTTCTAAACTTTTCTCTAAAATGCATCTAAAATCTCAATTTCCATTTGGGTTTCAAATCAATTAAAATGTTTATCACGTAAACGATAGCTTTAGATCAAATTTGTGGTATTTTCCACGCAATACTATATTCAATAGGAGACATAAGAGTCCAATTGTGATAGTGTAGTAGTTTTAGTGTAAAATTTAAACTTTCAATTAATATTACCGGTAATAACAATTTTGTTAATATTTTTAAAGAGTAAATTGTTTTTGAATAACACATTTATAAATGTGTTGTTATGTCTGGAAAATTGTTGCAATCATTTAATTTCATTTGCGATCATATTTTTCAATGATCGCCAATTGCGTCAAAATGCAAATTTCACAATCAATTTGAAACGATTGCAAACAAAGTGCACATAAATATTATAATCGTTATTATTCTTGTTAATATCTAGATAATATCTGTTAAAAACATTGTAATTCTGTTTATAAAGTATGATAAAAATACAAAACTAATGCAAAACTAATCGCAAACATTTAATATAGTAAACAAATAACACTGTAAATCAAAATCTTAATTAAATTTATTCGTCATTTAATTAGATTACAAATTTATATTAATTATTGATATTTATATATTTTAATATTTCTTTCAAATATATGAAAACAAATCAATAAATAACTTCTTAATAAAAGGATTGGAAAATGAAAACTTGTAAACAAAAACAAATTTCCATTCATTCTGAGACACAAATTGTATATATTTTGCATTAAATGTCTCCAAACATAATATAAATCCTAAAAATTAAAAACTAAATTAAATGTATTTCAACTAATAATTCAAATTTTGATGAAAAATAAAAATTATAATGAAAATAATCGCTAATTTCAATCCAAATAAATACAAAAAATTTAAAAAAAAAGACTAAAGATAACAATGAATGGAAGCGTCGATTGGATGCGGACCCGCATTACATGGCCTTAACCTTCAATTGTTTCATTTTTGGTGTCTTCCTCTTGAGCTCCCGTTTGTACTCCTTTTCCTCCCATTTGCGTTGCTTTTCGGGATCGGAATCGTTGAGCATCTTCTCCTTCTCGGCCCGACGCCGCTCTTCGCGCTTCAGTTGCGCCACTTCTTGCCTCTGGACGTGTGTTGTCTTCAGAAAGAGTTCCTCCACTCGCCGTCGATTGCGTTCAGCTTTCATTTTGCCCTCACGTGACAAACGAAATCTTCTCACCTTCTCTATGGAATAGAAGACCAGTTGAAGCAACGGCTTCATCGCCTCGATCTCGTCGTAGTTGCGGCTACTATTGCTCGGGACTGACAGTCAATTTACCATTAGTACACTTAACGACATTTTCAAAACAATATTATAAACAATTCATACAATTAAAGGCAAAAATCAACATTCGTTTTACATCTGGAAGTTTGGTCGGCTGAATGTCTCTGTAAACGACAAATTCAATATTCAATTAAACAAATTACTAGAAAACACTAAACCAATTATAAATCGCATACTCGGCTAATCTATATCCGGAGTATTGATCCGTGAAATGTATGTAATCAATGCAATCCTCGTATTTCTTAAGTAGTGAAATGACTTTAGCGTCGAGTAAAACGCTGGCCGCCTCTCCTATTTCGTTGAGTAACACAAACTTGTCTCCCAATACACCGTACTTTTCGGGCGTCTTCTTCGTCGGACAATACGTATTCTGTGTGTAAAATCGTAACAAATTATAATTTATATTTTGCACATTCAATGCGATTGTCAATTACAATATCGTTCATCTCTTTGGCCAGTCGTTGAGCGCTCTTCTTGTTAGCGATGCAGAAGACATAGCTGTCCATTGCGTCCACATTTAAAGTGACACGAATTTGCTGTTCATATCATTTGCAAACAAACAAAAAACACAACCCATTAGAAGTGATAAAATGCAAAACCTATGCAATCAATTGCTTACAATCTGATCCGTTGTGGGTTTGAAATAATTAGACACAACGCTGACCAAGTCTTGACGCTTGAGAAACTTGAGCTCAACTAACATGCCTTCAACGCAGACCCGTCCGCTGCACCACAACGTGAACACACTTTCGGTCTCTTTGTTCAGACCCGCGGACTCCACCTCTTTCTTGCCGTCGTCGCCGACTAACGCGAAGTTTGAATACAACAGCTCTTTGTGGACATCAAACCACGTGTCGGCCATCTTATGGTTCTTATTGCGACCGGCGATGAAGTTTATGAAATATATGACGAGTCCGGCGATCATCAGGAACTCCAAGTAATAGGACTCCCAATTGGAGCGCAGATGAAGCGGAACGTTAGTGATCTTCAGGTCCGGCTTCTTAGCGTTTCCACCGGCGGTGTCGCGGCTCCGGTCGGCACTCGACTCAGATTTGCTGCCGCTATCATCCGATTCGGACACGTATTCAAACTCTTCGTCGTCCAACTCATCGTCGTCTTCGTCCTCAACGGTTACGTCGCTTTTGTCCGACTCTTTGTTCAACTTATTCCTGTTGTCGACCACCTCTTCGACGTCGTCGTCCTCGTCATCGGCGGCTGAGGGGCTGGCGTTTGGGCCGACGTTGGCGTTCGCCTCACGAGCCGTGGCGTCGGGTTTGGTGTTCGGCGGCGCCGGCGGTGAGTCTTCGTCCGTGTCCTCGAACTCCGCGAACTCATTGTCTTCGTATTGTTGATCCGACGCCAGCTTCGAGTCCACCGAAACCACACATATCTCCAGAATGAGAGCCATCACTAGATTTGTGGCCAAAACCAGTGAAACCACTCGCGAGTACTGACGACCACTTCTTCTGCTTAATATGAAACCCATCTTTCGTTTTGGTCACCACTTCTTCTTCAGCCGCTGTGTCTTGTCTTCAATACCATTAAACGCGAATCAAATGCAAAATGAATGCAAAAATATGCGAATATTTTAATTATTGTTAAATAAATAATAATCACATGTTTTGTTGGGTTTAATCCCAAAACACATCTCAAAACTCAACACAAACTCATTGTAAGGCTTGTGTCGACCGGTTTTTTGTCGTATCATTCATTCCTATGGCACTCAACGCGACATCTCTTGACAGTCACTACTAGTTGTATGCAATGGTGTGAAGAATTGGGACCAGAATTTGGTGACTATTACTCGTCTTTGAGAGGTTTGAATCAAACCATTGCTATGATAATGACAGGCATAATGAAGAGGCAGGTCGTGGATTGTCCTAACCTATTGTGTGGGCATTTTTAGACGTATACTGTTTTTTCCATAGCCTTATAAGTGGTTTTACCTCAAGAATATTCTGTATGATTAATGATTTGTGTTCATGTAATAGTTATTGAGCCACAAATGACCATGTTACATGTTCTGGGTCATTTTTAAATGTCATTTAATACTTATATCAGTGTAAAGTACTTACACTGTATATGCAATGAGTGATTATATAATACAATAATGATATGAAATGAACATTGCTATCAAATTAATGATAACAAATTTCTAAATGTCATTCATTATATACATTGTACTTCACTATACTTTACACTCTATTCAAAGTCAATGATTTGATATTTAATGTTTGATTTGAACGCTAAATATTATATTATAAAAATCTTTAATTTTTGAATTGAAAAATCATTATTAGTTTAAAAATACAACTCATTGTTTGTGAAACAGTGTTGAGAAAAAAATAAAAACTTGAAAATTTATTTCTCGGACTCCAAATCCATTAGCGAAGACATTAGAGTCACACGGATTGAGTCGCTGTTGCAGTCATGTCGGGCCAGGACTTCACCCAATGGGACAATGAATACGACGATATCTCGTCCGACAAACAGAAACTGTTGTCTCAGATGACAGAACTGGCGGCAACAAGTTATATAATAATAAATAAAACTTGCAATGAAAATAAGTATTTATTTTAAGTCACGAATTGACAAGTTTTATAAATTTAGATCCGGAAGTGTTATACACTTTCATTAAAGTTGCAAAACATATTTAATATCCCTTTAGATCTATCTATGAAATCATTTTTCTCCGGATTTGCAGATATTGTCATTAAATATAATCATTAAATTGAATGCATTTTTCAATTGACGCAAAACCATGTTTTCTAGAAAATTAATTTTTTTTTCGTGATTCACACGAAATGTTTTTTGCTTTCTTTAAAATTTAGAAAAAAGTGTTGCAATCGTTGTGTAATCAAAAGTGCATTTAAAATTAATTAAAACAATTATTACATGGTAACTTGTGGCTAAATACCTGCTCATCACTAATTTATATTCAATGTATGTGTGCGTAAAGGGAGGGGTGGCTGTATGGTGAGAATGATCAGGGTCATTCTGTTGCCATGTGCAGAGTGTATGGCGACAAACAAATGCATTAATCACTGTTTGCATGAAATGAATAAATAATATTCCAGTCCGAGTCCCAGTCGATCACCAAATTAATTAATTGCCACTCATTTTACATATAATTTTTATTATTATGTTTTGAATTATATTTTATTCAATAATAAAACTATCAATTATTCTCTCATTTCTAAATAGTCTAGACTCCAGAATATACACAAAAGTTATGATGTATTGAGTAAATTATATGATATAAATGGGATTATAATTAGAAATATGTGTTTTTGTTTTGGCTCACAATTAGCTTTTGTTACATAAGGTTTTCAAACTTTAAATGATTATTACTTTTTTAGGAGAAAAAATTTTGTCTAAAAATAATTTAATAAAACAAATTAGCTTTTAATGTATATCTTTCCCATTCATACACCAAATTATAATCAATTATTATTATTAATCATATTATTTAAAAGTAATTTTATAATTAAATTTCCCATATCTTAATGATATTCTGGAAAAGTAAATGTTATTCAAAACTAAAGTCAAGAATACTTTATAAGGTTTGGAAGTATACTATATATGGTATTATCTGTTCATCAAATGACATGTTTTAGACAAAGAATATACACAAGAGTTTATTAAACCAGACATTAAGCCCGAGAGACGAGTGAATGACAATCAAAACATACCATAATCTCATGCATTGCCAAAAATAAATGTGGAAAATAACCGCACGTTTCGTATTCAAACAGGAGATGCGCTCACAATATATCCCACAATAGAGTCCTCTATTTGCAAATACACTGAATTTGCAATTCATTTACATTTACTATATTTTTGGTTCAATTCTGTGCATATTGTTAGCCAACAGCCCATCTCTGGCCACATATAACAGTTGTGCCTCTAATCGCATAATTAACCAAATATTCACTTATGATTGCAATGCTATTGATTTTATTCCTAGACATAATACCCGTCATATTTAATTTATCATGCACACTTCGATAATGCCACCTAAATCAATAAGCTATTATTTATTTGCTCTCTCTCTCTCTCTCTCTCTCTCTCTCTCTCTAATGGTTAGTCATATGACAGCGCAGTCACAGTGAGTACTGAAGTCACCACACATTCAGTGACTACCAAATGAAATAACATTAAAAGTATTGGGTCGTCAATGAGTTGTGCAATGCATACGTTATATGTGTGTGAATATAGAGAATGTATGCAATTTGAGAGCGTATGACACGACTCTCTCTCTCTCTCTCTCTCTCGTATGAACTATGAATTGTTATGGACTTTGTGTCCATAATTGTATCGAAATACTGCTAATATTCTGTGTTTACTGTTATTCTCAATGCATTGCCAATGAATGCAATGTTATTTCATTTGGTAGTCACTGAATGTGTGGTGACTTCAGTACTCACTGTGACTGCGCTGTCATATGACTAACCATTAGAGAGAGAGAGAGAGAGTCGTGTCATACGCTCTCAAATTGCATACATTCTCTATATTCACACACATATAACGTATGCATTACACAACTCATTGACGACCCAATACTTTATGAACCAAATTGAATAGCCATAGAAAGTGGAGTCAAATTGATCGTGAAGTACATGTAGTGGTGTGGACACCCGCTGTCAGTGTTGTGGTAACGGTGTTTGTGTGCGGCCTTTGGTGTGATGTTTGTGTATTGCATGTATTGATTGGCTGAGTGTGTGTTAGTCCGCCATATCTGCTGACAATCAGCTGTAAAGCACTTGAAAAGCGCTAATCGTTTGGATGCGAGTCTCAGACATAGAAATGAATTACACTTTTGAGTGAATGTTAAACACAATCGCTATTCAAACCAAACACCAAAACACACGACAAAACAATACAAAGCATTTGATTTCATCGGACTTTTTGAATGGTTTGAGAGACAAAACACAACACTTACGGTCGGATCGGATGAGTCCGGGAGTGGAAGTGATCAGCAAATGATATTATGGACAACTCGGTGGACACGTCTCCGCCCCCGACGGCGATGACGGCTCCCCCGCAGCCGCCACTCAATGCACTCAATCATAACCACAACATTCATAACAAGACCAACGACTCGTCGCAGTCGCTGACCAACCACTGCAAGAACACTGTTCTCCATCCGTTCGACCATCAGGTAAGCCATTGATCACCGCATCTGATCCACAGAGAATGTGCGCTAACCATAGTGTTTGTTGTTGTGTTGATGTGATGGACAGGTGGGCGGACACACGCAGCTCATGCTTTTGGACAAAAGCACTTTATGTAAGCCATTAGTTCAAAGGGAACTATCATTTTATCTCAACATTCCTCACGAGTTGAAAGGATTTGTACCCAAATATAAAGGTCTGTTTGTCCTATGGATTGGATTCTGTGTGTGTATTGTTTGTATGGCTTTTTGTGTATTTATTTGGTTCGTGTCTTTGTGTCGTACGACAGGTGTGGTTGAAGTGCATCAGACGGACGGCTGTCCGATACTCTACCACCCGATCAAAGGCTCCCAATTGGTTGAGACGATGGCATCCGATGACGACAATATGGACGACACGGGATCGCACGCACAGCCGGAGCTCAAGTATGTATAGTCTCTGCACACCATTAGTGTCCCAATCCGTGTTGTTTTGTGTATTAATAATTAAAATCCCGGATAGTTTTTATGTGGCGTTCAATTCAAATGATTTGTGTCTCACTTTCTATTGGTATTTAGGGTTCAGATCTGTAGCTGTAAACAATCATAACCACAACATTCATAACAAGACCAACGACTCGTCGCAGTCGCTGACCAACCACTGCAAGAACACTGTTCTCCATCCGTTCGACCATCAGGTAAGCCATTGATCACCGCATCTGATCCACGCGAATGTGCGCTAACCATAGTGTTTGTTGTTGTGTTGATGTGATGGACAGGTGGGCGGACACACGCAGCTCATGCTTTTGGACAAAAGCACTTTATGTAAGCCATTAGTTCAAAGGGAACTGTCGTTTTATCTCAACATTCCTCACGAGTTGAAAGGATTTGTACCCAAATATAAAGGTCTGTTTGTCCTATCGATTGGATTCTGTTTTTGTATTGTTTGTGTGGTTTTTGTGTATTTATTTGGTTATATGTCTTTGTGTCGTACGACAGGTGTGGTTGAAGTGCATCAGACGGACGGCTGTCCGATACTCTACCACCCGATCAAAAACTCCCAATTGGTTGAGACGATGGCATCCGATGACGACAATATGGACGACACGGGATCGCACGCACAGCCGGAGCTCAAGTATGCACACCATTGCACAGGGTTAGGCACAACAAAACACATAATTATTAATTTTAGGGCCTATCAAAAATACACCGCAAGTTAAGTTTACTAAACACAGAGTGAAAGATAACCATAAATCCCAAGTCTAGACATCGACATTTGATCGACGACTACTGCAAAAAGATTTACATCAGACTCAAGGGCGCCCTCAAGACAGCCAACAGACCTATAGCTCCCGTCCCAGTCAGCGATGTAAGTGTTGTCTATGCTCTTATCAAATGCTCATTAATTCATATACATGTATACATTACACCTGTGTTGAGAGAGCGCCTGTACTCTCTCGGTTCTGCCAGACCTATAGTCGCTCAGCGCTTACGGAATAATTGCAATAATAATTAGACAATTGTTTTTTGTTTTGTTGAGGAATTTCTCATACAATGAAAAGTGAAAGCATTTTCCACAAGTATAGCACATAAAGTCGACCCCAATTCCTGAATTCCTCTCTTTGCGTGTATTTTTTAATAGATCTCTATTTAAGACATCACTCAATACTCATCTAATCTTTATTTTTACAGTCAATTTGCTTTAGATTTCATTATCTCTTCTTGTTTTGTGTTTTCCGTTAAAATTCCTTACTTTTTGTTTATTTGCCGAAAAATACCGATTAAAGTGATCTCTAATGCAATCGTATGAATACATTAGTGCAGAAAATAGTGCTTTAAAAATGTGTGAATTCATTATTTACATAACCATTGATCTGTCAAATGAATGATATATTGCGTGATTCCTAATGATTGTTATGACAAAAAACAAACCCGTAATTAGATTTCATGCTTCTGGAGAACATTACATCCCATTATCACTTGCCGTGTATTCTGGACCTAAAGATGGGAACCCGACAGCACGGAGACGACGCCACCGATGAGAAAAGGCACCGACAAATGGCCAAATGCGCGGCCAGTACTTCGGCCAGTCTGGGTATGACATCACTGCACACGTGGTATTTGATGCCAGAAATAACTTTTGTTGTTTTGTTTTGTTAGGGTTTCGATTGTGCGGAATGCAAGTCTATCAGCAAAGTGTCGACTCATACCAGTTATATCAAGTCGACAAATATTACGGCCGCAAAATCAGTACCGAAACCGGTCTTAAAAATCTCTATTTAAGACATCACTCAATACTCATCTAATCTTTATTTTTACAGTCAATTTGCTTTAGATTTCATTATCTCTTCTTGTTTTGTGTTTTCCGTTAAAATTCCTTACTTTTTGTTTATTTGCCTAAAAATGCCGATTAAAGTGATCTCTAATGCAATCGTATGAATACATTAGTGCAGAAAATAGTGCTTTAAAAATGTGTGAATTCATTATTTACATAACCATTGATCTGTCAAATGAATGATATATTGCGTGATTTCTAACGATTGTTATTACAAAAAACAAACCCGTAATTAGATTTCATGCTTCTGGAGAACATTACATCCCATTATCACTTGCCGTGTATTTTGGACCTAAAGATGGGAACCCGACAGCACGGAGACGACGCCACCGATGAGAAAAGGCACCGACAAATGGCCAAATGCGCGGCCAGTACTTCGGCCAGCCTTGGTATGACATGACTGCACACGTGGTATTTGATGCCAGAAATAACTTTTGTTGTTTTGTTTTGTTAGGGTTTCGATTGTGCGGAATGCAAGTCTATCAGCAAAGTGTCGACTCATACCAGTTATATCAAGTCGACAAATATTACGGCCGCAAAATCAGTACCGAAACCGGTCTTAAAAGGGAACTGGAGGTGAGTTTCCCCCACTGTATGTGATATGAAAGTAATTGCATAACTAATTGGTTGTATGTGTTGTACGCGAAGGTCTACTTCAAAGGGCGAACGCATTTGATCTCAAGTACCATAAAAAGGCTGAAAGAGTTGCGATCCATTGTAGAGGACTTGCGATCGACGCTACGATTCTTCTCGACATCGCTGTTGATCGTAAGCGAGGGCTGTGTCGGCCGCCGGAGCGCTTCCGTGGCCCGCAAGAGGCCGAACATGAGTAGCGGCGAAGACGACGACTCCTCAATGGATAGTTTGGACAGTAGTGTCGAACTGAACAAATCGCCGACAAAGACTACTAAAGGCCAGCGGCGGCTGAAGTATGTCTGTCAGAGCGATCACATGAGACAAGTGTCGAACCAGAAGATTGACATACGAATGATAGACTTCGCGCACACGTCCTTCTCGAGCCAGTCCTCCACCGACGGCTTTATCGTCGGTTTGGATAATTTGATTCGTCTGTTGAACCAAATACGAGAGCCCGACCTCAGGAGTTGCGAAGAGGCCACCGAAGACAGCGATGAAGACGGCGCTGACATTACAATGGCGTAAATGTGTTTCCCATTTCACAGGCAATCAAATTAAGTACAAAAATAATTTGATTTGATTTTTATTTTACCGACAAAACCAAACAAATACCTGAATAACAATTTATAACTGTCTTAAAGCGATGAGAAAACAGGCGGCGATTCTTTCGCTTATGTTTTATTGATTGATTCTGTGATTGAAGACAATATCAGTAATCAGTTTTATGTTCAAAACAAATGAAGCGCTCACTTCTTTGGCGTTTATTTCAATGTTTCGTTTCAAACAATATTAACTTTAAACGAATTAATCAAAGATTTAATGAAATGAATGATTTTTTTTGCCCGAAACTCAATACCAATGATAGGTTTGACATAACAATACAAGTCATGCCATAATTACTAACAATTTTACATATTTATCAATGAAATATTCTAATAATAAAAACAACCAAACATTCATTTGAATGAAACAAATATTTTCATACATTTAACTCATAATTATATATAAATTCATTGTTTTATTTTAAAAGTTTAGTTTAAAAATAAACGTTAATTTTGTGACTGAATATTTAATTACATTATATATACTGTATGTATAAAATTATAATTAAAAGTGACTTATAAGGCAAGTATAAGTTTTTAGTAAGATGTAATCATGACCCTAAATATAGGGGTAACGCTACCTGGATAAGATTACCCCCCTTTGTTGGATTTCACATAATATTACCGGGTGTTTTTATGAGAGTAAATACGGTATATAAATTCATTGTTTTATTTTAAAAGTTTAGTTTAAAAATAAACGTTAATTTTGTGACTGAATATTTAATTACATTATATATACTGTATGTATAAAATTATAATTAAAAGTGACTTATAAGGCATTTTTGGATAAACGGTTGGCATTCAACAAAGTATTTACGATTTTTACTTAATTGAATGATTAGATAATTATTGTGCTTATAATTTGATTTTGTTTTTTTTATAAAACTTATAAATAATTGTTTTTAAATAAAATGTTTGAGAAATATTTTCCATACGAAAAAATTTTGATACTTTTGTAACAGCATTCATATATGTGTGTATTTTCATGCATTTTTGTTGTGTCAAACCTATCATTGAGTTAATGACCGTTTCGTTTGATTTGATAATTCATTTAAAATCTTAATTATTAGTCAAATATTTGATTATTGTTTGAAACGAAAAGAGAATTTTATTTTGAATGAAACAAAATATATAATATAGACATAAGAATCACTTGAAATGCTATCAACAAAAAAATTGAGTTAAAAATGAGAATATTTTGGAAAAAATTAAATATGTTTTAAAAATCGATAAAAAAAAGTCCATCACTCTCTGGATTGTAGTTTAAATTATCAGAAAAAATATATAAATACAATACAATTAGTGAACACATGTAGTGATTAGAGATTAAATAGGAAACCAGAAGAATATATTTATGAACAGAAACAGAATATATATCGGAAACTATTTATTCATTGCTGAAAATTCTAATCAAATATATAGAAAAAATATATGAATTGTATATTAAATGCGAGATTTAATTAACGAAATTTATTTTAGAAATCTATTAAAAGATATTGAGCTTACAATTAGAGGGAGAAAAGCGCTGAAAATATCTTAACGACTGAATGAAAAATCTATATAACATTATATCTCTAGTATATAGTGTCAGAGAAACACATATTATACTTATTATTACTATAATTATTATAAATTTAATTAAGAGTTTTAATTTATTTGTCTAAAGAATAATCCAAAGTAATAGTTGATTGAATTGTAATATTTAATTAATCGGGTATTGGATTAGATTTAAGACTTGTCGTTACAGTCAAGTCTCGGATCAAATCAATTATTCATTCAACTATTCTGTGATAAACGCATTCAACAAATAATTTTAATTAAAACATAATCTCCGCGAAAATCAATAGACAAAACAAATATCATTTGATTCATTGAAATCCGTTTGTATTAGACTTTAATAATAATTTCGAAACACGATTTAAAACTCGATTTTAAAGCACCAGAAATAGACATTAATTAGTGGGAAATGTTTTGATTAAACATTTTTCATAATTTTGTTTTTTGTTTGCAAATGTTTTTTCAGTACTTCCACAAAGACTTCATCTATTTGTGTATGAATTGATAAAAACTCACAAATTCTTTATGCTTTAACTCATTTCTAACATTCATTATGTTTTTGTATGAATACATCTTATTTCGCAATTCTCTTCATTTTAACACATTATAACTTATATCGTAGAGAGAGAGAGAGAGAGAGAGAATAGTATATAATGAATAAACATATACGTGTATTATATATAATACACGATTATATTAAATAACAATACAATAATTAATATACATTACAATAAATATAATACTAATTTAATTATCAAAACATAATAATAATCTCAATACAGGAGAGAGAGAGAGAGAATAGTATATAATGAATAAACATATACGTGTATTATATATAATTTTTTTGCTTAATTAACTTTAATTGAAGCCATAATTTTGTTGATGATATTGAAAGCCAAGTGAAGCTATGTTTTTGGTTTAATCATAAGAATCGAGTCCTCATTTCACTCGACCGTTAAGTTTTACAGAAAAACGCACAAAAAATGCATTCAATTATATTGTTTTTTACTAATTATATTGTTTTTTTTATTAATTTACTACTATTTACTTACTATACGTATACTGTGTTATACTGACCAAAAACAGTGATGTTTTTATTATTAATTATTAACACAACCAGAAAACCAGTGAAAACCTATAAAAACTTGTTTATTGAAAACATTGTTTTTTGTTATAGTTTAGCATAAATTGTTTCAATTCTGTATAAGACGTGTAGTTATTTTTTTGTATTTTAATTATGTTTTTCGGTGTCTATTTTGGGTGTTTATGAGATCGGGTTTCAAATGAGTTGTTTGTGCCACCGGTTTATGTACTTCTACTTTAACTCTACCACTAGTTTATTATTATATTCGCTATACATAACTACACATATACTATACACACAAATGAGTCTCTAATCGGTGTTTAACTGAATGAGTGAACACTTCTGTATATCTCGGAGACGATTATTGAATACTAATTACGATATATAAAGAAATAGATTATTATTTAAAAAAACACGAAAACAATTATCTCTGTTAAAGACGCGAAACAACACAAACTGTTATGTATTGTAAGTCGAGTTACAAATGATATTAAGATCTAAAACATAATAACAAACTCAATATCGAGGTATAGGCGAAGAATATATACCATAGAGAGATATTTTTGGCACAGAAACGCGAGCCAACACTGACTGCATATGCCGTTAGGTTTGCAATGTTTTTACTGATATTAATACATATATTATACACACTGTTTGGGATTTTCTCATTTGTCATGTCGTTGAATGGCATCGCAAGTATGTTGAGTGACAAACATAGGCTTTTCCTCCACTTCTCTGTACTTTTCCACGGCTTTAATAATAAACACGTTTTCTATTATTATAAGCAAAACACACGTCAGAAGGAGTGGAGAAAATGTATGTGTTTTTAAAAACGAGATAACAATTTATAAACAAATCTTTTTCTAGAGATTAGGAATCTTTTATTATTAGAAAATTAATAACAAATTAATTATTGGATGCAAAACATTGTGTTGACTCCGCATTCAGTGCCAGAATATTCTGTGTGTTATTCTTCTTCTCCTCTCCTGTATTGAGATTATTATTATGTTTTGATAATTAAATTAGTATTATATTTATTGTAATGTATATTAATTATTGTATTGTTATTTAATATAATTATATGAAAATTGATTTTAAAAATAAATTATAATTTAAAATTGTATTTTACTTACTCTTAATGGAAAATGTGCGGCAATTCTTGTAGTTTATCGACAGATAATTAGATGATAAATACACGATCTATTAATAATTACTTTCAAATTTATAACAATATATTTTTGAAATTTTATTTCAATTGATATTAAATTTAAATACAAAATTAGGAATATATGTACGAAAGCTCAGCGATAGGTTCACTACAGTTCCCATATTAGTATTATTCAGGATTAGATTTTAGACCCAATAATGAGCCGAATTCGTGGATCAGACCATTGAAGCCTTTGATGACAACGTTTCCGATTCTGTGGTTTTCTGGTTCTTTCGCCATTTCTTTCTCGGGTTCTCTCGATTTCAACTGATTTTTATTCTTATTCTTTAATTTATTTAAAGACTTTTTGCTTTTTAAACCATTTCTATGATCTTTATTGTCGTTTTCATTATTATTGGAACTAATTTTTATATTCATATTCTTCTTGTTTTTGTTTGAAATATGTTTTTCATTCTTCAGAGAACCACTTCTTTTGAGGGCCTTTTTATTGAGTTTTTTATTTATATAGATTTTTTCGTGTCGAGAGATATTGTTATTAACGGAAACTTTTTTAATTGATTTTGATTTTTTCGACGGCTTATCCGAACTTTTAGATCCCTTATCTATAATGTCTTTAACATATTTGGGAGGCTTTACCTCGTGTTTAACAAAACCCTTCTTTGTTTCAATCATCTGTAAATCCGGTTTATATAAGAGTTTGAGATTCTTAGCCAACTTTTTGTTGT